GTTGTAAGCCTAGTCAGAAGTAAACCTGATGAAATTTAATGGAAATTGTTCCCTAATAAGCAGTCTTAATCCTGTATCATTCTTTACGACTGAAATCCTTTTGTTCCATTGTTGCTGCTGAATTAACAAACAGCACGCAGAAGAGCAGAATAGGGATATACGGAATCTGCAGATACTCCTACTCATCTGGAGGGAGGAGGAACTCTGGCTGTGTAAAAGCAATTGAGCATCTCTTGAAAGTACAAACAGAATAGAAAGTAAAATAGAGGACAGCATTTGGAGAGCCAACATGATTCTGATCATGTAGGAGAGTTGAACTTTTAATCTGTTTAATCATACTAATAACTAAGTTAAGGCAACTGCTGTTACAACATTGGGAATGCTTCTGTCACATAATTTAAAAGGAGAGTAGTAGTTTTGCAAGATTAACAATTACATTTATTAATTCTGGTGTAGGCTCTTTGAACTGACTCTTGCCTAAGGTGACACCTGAAACAGGGAAGGGAGTTTTTATGCTGTAATACATGTGGCAAAATATGAGCTACGTAAAATGCTTCTATGTGCTTCACTTCAGAAATTCTGACTCCACCAAAGGATGCGACAGAACATATGAGCATGGCTTAAACTGGGACGCTTAATGCATCTCTGAGAAACGATAACAGTAGCCTTTATTTACTTGGGCTTATAGCTATAATCTTTGGAGATTTATAATAAAGAAGTGGAAACTACCTGTCTGGTTCAAAGAATGTGTAAACGTAGGGCAAATGAGGAAGATAGTATAGATATTAGAGAAGCATGAAAGAGATAGAAATCCAGGCCACATGGATTTTCTATATGAGTAGTTTTCTTACATGGGAGGAAAAGCCCAACGTATATTTGCTTTGATTCTCAGTATTAAAAACAGGCAGAGTTTTTTCTGCTCTACCTCTGCAACAAAGTTATGTCACTATCTTTTTCATTTTCTTTGATCAAATGTATGATTTGTTTGTTGTAACAATTATAAAAGAGGAAGCAACAAACAAAATATAATCCCATTTTTTTAAAAAAAAGCTTTTAAGGGTGTATAACATCCACTAAAAGTGGAACAATTACTTGAAAGTCTCTGCAAAGAATTGCCACTGAATGCTAATCCTATTTTGGTTATCAGTTAAAGACATTTTCTCACAGAACTAAGTTCCTTTGCTAGTTACCTACGTAGCTGATTCAGAAGAACAGGTGAGTTGGCAAGGCCAGTTCTGTTGGCTTTAGTGTTATGAATTGGCTTCCAGAATTGGGATGAAGCATTACACTTGAATTTTATTCATTTTGCCTCTGGCTGTTTCTTTTTTCTGTCGTCTATTAAATGGTAAATCATAAACTGGAAACTGAATTGTTTTGAAACATTACCTTCAAATTTATATATACATAAAAGTATATATCTGATACAGTTGAACTTAATTGGGATTAGTTACACATTTAATTCTGAATGCTCAAAATCAAAATGGCTTTAAAATGTAATCTGATACTAAGATTTAGTATCAAATGAGCTTTACTCAGCCCATTTTTAGATTGCCCATGATGGGAACTTGTACTAATTTTTAGGAAGTCAACATTCAGCTGACAATTAATGGCTTAAGCCAGAGCCAAACTAGAGCATTTCTAGTTACAGCTGAACGAACAAGAAGGGTGAGTGAAATTTATTTTTATGGGCTGACTTCTTGGTGCAGCTCAGATGCACAACTTTTATACAAATTCTAATAAAAACAATAATGCAGAAATCTAGATTTTTGTGTACAAAAAGGATATAACTTCAAACAGGCAGCAAACTGGGCTGAAATGTCAGTGTATGCTATGTATTTTTAATGTATCCATGCAAACATACGTGACAAAATGATCTTAGCACATTTGCAACCACAGTATCTCTTTACTGGGCTATTCCTTCAACTAATTCAGGGGTGTCCAACCTTGGCAACTTTAAGACTTGTGGACTTCAACTCCCAGAATTCCTGCTGGCTGAGGAATTCTGGGAGTTGAAGTCCACAAGTCTTAAAGTTGCCAAGGTTGGACACCCCTGAACTAATTGGTGCAGGACTATTCTAGTCAATAGTAAAAAGAAGAAGATGCCTTTTCAATACTAGCTTGATAAAAATGAGTAGCAAAGATTTCCAAGAGCGACCCTACTATTCCTGGCGATGTAATTGGAGTTAGAGTTACCACCACTAAAATCTGCTTGATAAATATATCGCAAATATCGCAAGTCAGGTACAAAAGTTACACTACAGAAATGAAGCCTAACACACATTGATATGGGCTTGTTTTTAATTTATTTTGAGCTCCCTGGAAGAGAGGTGGGATGATAACCTCATACATGGAAAACATGTTTTTCTTCCAGATCTTCCTGAAAGAAAAAATGCACGGCTTCTGGAAACATTAAAGAACCAGCACAAGTTAAAGTATTCTGCAATTCATGGTCATTTGGGCCAAGCGTTTGGAATATCCTGAGGATGGTTAGACGTCTAACTAGCTTTTTTGTTTTAAATTCATAAGAAGGTAAACTCCATTCTTATTTCCCACAGATCAACCCAAGCACATGATCTGGACATCATCTCCTCTTGCCCAGTTGGCAGGACAACAATTTTCCACCTTGTTTTTGAGGAAGTTGGGTTTAGCAGCCAAACCTCAAGGAAAAAAATGTGCTGTCGTGGAGATAAAGTCACCAGGGGTGTGGCAGTTTGTGAAGTATATAAAAACTGATCAGACCAAAGGTTAACCTAGTCCAGTCATGCCTCTGGAAGTTTCACAGAGTATAACTTTCTCATGTTCAGGGGCTGCCATAAGCTTCTACAGGACAAAAATAAGATCCAGGCTTGCAGAAACACTTCGATTAATATTGCTGCTCCAAGAGCTGCCATTTAAATCTCCCCGAATTCTAGAGCAATAGTATTTTGGAAGTAATAATTTTCATATTTAGCCCTTTATATTGTTTGCCCTCCCAATTACTCAGTGCTGTTATGCTAAGTGCGCAGATCAGATTCCAGAGTGTTCTTAATCTCTCCCATATAAGTTATGGGAAACAGTAAAGTGCTGCTTTAGGGACATTACTGACTTGAGGATAAAATCTTGTTTTCTGCAACTAATCGAGAAACTGAGTCCTTCATAGATTTTTGTTTGCATCTCCAGAGCATTGAAAATAAAACTGCATTTCCATAGTGTGCAAATTCTCCCTTGCATGTGCAATCTGTCTACATAATAATAGGAATTTTGCTGCTATGAAACAGATTAAATAAATATTAAGTGTTGAGCCACAGAGTTGGCAAAGCTTGAATAAAAGCCTTTTTTTAAAATGACCTTTACAAGGATATGTATTTCTGGATTTGTTTAAAAAAAGTAACACAATGAATATTTTCAGTGCAGCAATACATTTATTTTAAATACAATCAAACACTTTTTTAAAAATGTCACAGGCTGTAATTCAACAGTCAACATATTTTGGGAGTAGGATTTCTAACAAGCTGAGCTACATTTTTGCTCAATAGATCAGATGGCCATGACAAAGGACCCAGTTGTTTTAAATCCTGCTTGCAGTGGGCATTTTTAACTAGATTCTCTGTTGGGTGGACATGTTCTCCCACAGTTTGAAGGCTAAGAACAGCGACCAGGTTTTTAATTGAGCCATTTATGAACAGGATCACAACATGCATAAAAATGATAATGCACATGTATTTTAGGAAGGACAGAAGAACAAAGATTAGTTATTTACTTAGAAATATTAAGAAATCTGTCTTGCTACATTTTGCACTCATTTACGGATGACTCATTAAACTCTGCTCTTAAATTGCAGGGCTTTAAGGACTCTTGATAAAATCTCTTTATATAATGAATTGGATACACATCTTAATCATACCCTGGAAAATATGAAGAAACGTTATGGGGGTGGAGGGGAAATGGTAACATTACTATATCATCTCAATAGTAGGAATTGATCCTACTGTACCTTTTGCATAATTTTCTAATCCAGCCTTTTATCATAACAGAAAATGTTAACATATTTTTCTAAAGTTACAATTATGCTACTGCTTGAGTACAAAGTAGTAAGGAATTGATTTATGTGTAAACATGTTAAGAATGTGGACTTTTTCACAGGTAGCATTTAGAAATATTCCTGAGCTTCAGCAGGAATGTAAAAACACGGCAACTCAAAATTTTGCAATGCAATGCATTTCGTGTGTCCCAAAGTTGCTTTTTATCCAAAAGGCAATTGGACTTTCTTGGTTTTTTTCTTTGAAAATGTCTCGCTTCTCATTCAAGAAACTTCTTTGGTGAACTGAGAAGTGAAGAGAAGTGAAACATTTTGAAAGAAAAAACCCAAGAATGTCCAGTTGCCTTTTGGGAAAAAAGCACCTTTGAGACAAATGAACATAAATAATACATGAGACTTAAACCTACTTAAGCCTCCGTGTATGAATACTTTCCAAAGTAATAGGAAATGAAGTTACACTTTGTTCCTTAAAAAGGAAAAGAAATAGCTTAGCGCAGTTCCATCTAGCATTTACATCACAGCATATAACACAGGATAGTGTTCTGATATTACTGATCATTTTGTATGGAGCTGAAAACAGTGAAGACTAAAAAATGTAACCCTTGCCTCTTTTTTTTTTTAAGCCATTGGCCGGAACAGGAACCCACCAGACAGAAATTGGGTGGGCCTGGATGCTCTTCGCAGCTCACAGAGAACGGGTATATCAGGTAAAGTACCAACGCCCTTTCTCCAATGAGCTGCTCCGAGCATCCAGCAGTGGGACATACCAAAGCTTGGCCTGTCCAATGGGAGGGTCTCTGTCTGGCGTGGAGTCCCCTCATGGTCCCTGTGGACCCTTTGCAAAACTCTCCTACTGAAAGAAACCTCAGCTGAGGTAAACCCATCAATTTTGTAGTGTGTAATGAAGGGCGATGGAGAGGCCCAGGTTGCCACATGACATATTTCTGTTATTGGTGCTTAAGTGGCCCAAGCTGTTGAAATCATGGCGCTCCTGGTTGAATGTGCTGTTATGCCCCTGGACACAGGTAATGATTGAGTCTCGTACATTGCAGCTAACTTTGCTGTCCAAAACTATTCGTAGAATGCAGTTTTCCAGAAACTTAAAAAACAGATCATTTCCCCCTATCTTGTTACAGGCTCTTGTCAAACAGGTGTTGGACATTTTAAAGCTCTTTCTAACATGACCTTTAAATACTCTAACTCCATGTTGGCAGTATTATGTGAATCAACTAATGTAGAGGTAGCAGGTCCATCTTTGACAGCCCCTTTAGGCAAAATGCCAATCAAGGAAAAGTCTTACCTCATCTGCACTATTTAATCGTTCCTTCCTCCTCTGGTTCAACCAATGCCATGTTCCAGAAGACAGTCAAATACTCAGATTTTACTGATCATTCTCTGCATTGTTTTATTGCCAGAGAGTCAGCAGGATCTCCAGGAGCCAGAATTAGAGGACTCTGCATCTCAACCAGGGTGTGAATTTCAGCAGATAACCTAACAGCGGTTGCTGAAGTATACGATTTAAAGCACAAGGATTTTCCTAATTCAAATATTACATCATCTCAATGATTATTTCAAGATGAAATATGAGCAGTTATTTAAAAACAACAAAAGTGATTTGTCAAAAATCATTTGACGAGAGCCTGAAATAATTTCTTCACCATCTCTCCTCCTCTGCTCAGTATCAAATTGGTTTCAAGCATACTTCCATAACAAGCAGATTTTATACTTGTCAAGTGAACAGTGCCTATCTGTAAACCAGCTATCTCTTGAAGAATGGTTCAAATTTGGAGAGTTCAACTTTGATGTGAGCAAAAGCCTCAACTAACCATTGCCTAAAGAATACTTGCTTTCAATTTTCCACAAATAGGTCAGGCAAAATACGTCCCTATTCTCTGAGCCAGCATTATCTATATCAAATCAGAAACATTTCTCATTGATTAAAGTAATCAACAGGAGATGACTTGCTTCATAATTACCTTTCATTTCCTATGAACTATTTGATCACTCTGGGAATATATGATAGAGCAGTATTTGTTATACACATTCTATTACTGCTTTCTAAACATAAAACTTGATTAATAGACCCATTACTGGGGATAAGTTCAATACAGATCAATCCATGCCAATTCTTATCAAAATAAAATGATGTCCTTGAAAATGTTCTTAAATTGGGTCAATAAACCTATTTTGATCTAAGCCATAATATTTAGTGTTGGATCCATCACTAACTATTAGTCTTTGAAAATCCATTAACATTTAATATCAAACAAATCATTGTCTTTGTTCCACAAATTATTAACACTATGGTTTAATGCAGGAGTCCTTAAACTTGGCAACTTTAAGACTTGTGGACTTCAACTCACAGAATTCCTCAGCCAGTTATGCTCTGGTTTAATGCAATCTGTGAAGTCAGCATTCTACTTCCAATTTAATAATACATATAATGTATTATTAAATACATTTAATAATACTAATAAAAATAATAATATAGTATTATAATAATACATATAATGTGGGAAATGGTCCCGAGGGTAGGCAAAGGTAGCTGCAGACATCCTTTTAAAATAAATCTATGAAGCTAATTGTGCAGAAATGTGCTCCTTCACTTTCAGATAAAAAACTAAGAATATTGAGTAGAATGATAATGACCATTATGAATCAATTATTTTCATAAAACCATATTTAACTATTCGGATGTTATGAATACATTCCTGGGATTATATTGTGGTCACAAAAACCCCAACCAAAGAAAAATCCAAGCAACTGTTTGACTTAACATGTGATTTATTTATTTTCTATCTTGATAAGATGTGCAAATACAGCCCGTTAAGAGCAACAACACCCATCCTTTATTATACCTTTCCCGTATCACTTCATTCCTGTATTACCTCTATATATCTCTTCCTGCATTCTTTTTATTTCCTTCCACGCATCTGATATTTTAGCCCGTTTGGTGCAATGGTTTAAGGCGTCAGGCTTCAACTGGGAGACAGTGAGTTCTAGTCCTGCCTTAAGCAGAAAGCCAGCTGGATGACTTTAAGCCAGAGCTCCTCTCTCAGCCTTAGGAAGGAGGCCACAGCAAGGTTTGAAGCCAAAAGGTTTGAAGCCACAAAAAGGTTAAAAGGTTTGAAGCCACAAAAACTGCAGGGATTAGTCCAGGCAATCGCCAGGAGTCAAATACAGACTTGAAGGCACTGAATGAATGAATGAATTTCTGAAGAGAAAACTTAAATAAATGTCTTGGAAGCAAAATTTAATACAATAAATTTCTTGCAAACAGAACTTAAATAAATTTCTGAAGACAAAACTTTCAATGTCTGGAAAGCAAAACTCAATACGCACATTTTTGAAAAACAGAACTTAATTAAATTTCTGAAGACAAAACTTAAAGAAATAAATGCCTCGAAAACGAAATAAATTCTTACATAAAGAAATCATTTCTCGAAAGCAAAATCGAATTAGCTCTTGAAGGGCCGAATTTGACAACTGAGTGAGAAAACAATGCATTCGTTTTATAACCGGCCCCAATGAATGATAATGGGGATTATCCTTCCATCCTTAAAAAAGGGGAGGCCCTTAAAACTGACCCGTCTTCTGGTTTCAAAGGATTGCCCAGGGAAGCCCACCTGCTCCGCAGCCCCCTTGGGCGACCCCCTCCTCGGACCCCACGGAGAACCGCATCGGGGATCGAGTCAAGCGGGGGTGTCGCAGCCCATCCTCCAGGCAGGCCGGGCCTCGCCTCGCAGGCAAGGGGCTTCGGGGCTGTCCCGGCCGGAAGGAAGAAGCCCCCCTGCCCACCACAGGGCCTACCTGAGAACTGTGCAGACCCCCGAAGCTTCCTCCTCTTCCTCCTCCTCCTCAAGGCGGGCCTAGAAAATGCCCCCAAACCAGGCTCTCGGCGTTGCTTAGCAACGGCGAGGGGCGGGGACCTCCGCCGGGCGAGAGCGCATGAAACGAGCGCTTTCCGCGAGGCGCGGCCCCTGCCGGCTTCCGTCCCAGATGATCCCCGCCCCGCCTCCTCCCTTCTCCTCCTCCTCCTCCTCCTCCCGCTTCGCTTGCTCGCTGCCTCGCCTCCATCTCTTGCCGACGCCACTGGCGTAAACCCGCTCGGGGAAGAAGAGGGAAGCCGCGTCAGCCGCCGCCGCCGCCGCCGCGCAGGGTGGGAGCGGAAGCCTGTCTGTGAGGGGGAAAGGAGCCATGGGGGACGCGGCCTGCCGTTCCGCCGGCGCTTGTTAAAGAGGAGCGCCCTCGCCGCCTCAGAAGCCGGAGAAGAAGAAG